GTTCAAAGCAATTTTTAAACGCCGGGATCGCTATGTTGCAAGAAGAAATGTTCAAGTGAACTAGTCGCCGGGACAAGCTACACGAAAGAGTGCTCACTGCTGCCGACGCATCAATACCACTGATATCCAAATATCTGCTCCTATTATCGACAAAGCTCAGATCTGTCAACGGCACGCTCATGTTGTAGTCTGACTTCACCACTGTGCCAGCTACACACAGAAATCCCTCGCGACAGCTGACGTCACAATTCAGTTCATCCTCTCCGTTATGACAGTCCTTCTTATTGTCACAGACTCGGTCAGGATGCAAGCACACTTCTGACGAAGGGCACTTGAATAAGCCAGTACAATCGAGTTCCAGTAAGGTTTCGTCTTCCCCCAATGGACAGTTCAACTCTCTGTCAAAAATATAATGCACAGGTATGCAGTAAGAATTTGGGCATTTGACATAACCCTCGGGGCAGGTAAAATTTTCACAGTCCTGAAGATGTTGGAAATTCTGGCAGCCCAGAATACCACCTGTGGGATCTTTGATATACACACATCTGGGTCCCCAGTTGGTGAAACCCGACGTGTCATCTTCTCCATAGCACGTGCTGGACTCTAGAGCCCCCACGGTTTCGTCAAGAGGACCCTCTGGTCCTGCACACTGAATGACCCCGTCTCCCAACATGGCTCGGGTCACGCAGTCTGTCGTGTTGCACAGGAACACACAGTCAGTGATGCCGTGGCTGTTGGCAATGGCAAGTTCCAAAGACGTATCTTTTTGACATGTTGAGCAGTCGTCCCGACCGTCCAGAAACCAGTGTTTGGGCAAATTCTTACCATTACGACAGGATAATCTGCCACACGCAACTGTTCCCTGCATCCCTACCATACGGTTAGAATAGACATCGCATGATGTTTCCTGTTTGTAATTAGGGGGATGACTGAAGCAGCCATGTTTGTCCTCTCCAAACCCACAATCATACCTTCCATTACATACTTTTCCATACGAGATACAACGATTTTGCCTGGGGCACTGAAAACATTTAACCTCTCCTAAGGATAATATCTTCCTAAATCGCCCTTCTAAGTAGAGAGAAAATGATATGTTATTGTCTTTTGAAGCGTATTCATCTACGATATCACTTACAAAGTGTAAGTCACCCCTCTTCAAATCGTTCCCTCCTGAAAAGTCAAAAGCCAATTCCCCTCTCTTCAACATTCCTTTTCTGTTTCTGTCACTGACTGCACATGTCACATTCACGTTTTGCGGTTCTACTGCATTGGCTTTAGCTTCACAGACAGCCATGCCGTGAATTTGTGCCCCACAGCCCACGCCCTGCCAGCGAAGAGTTGAATTAGGGCCGTCTTGTCGATACGTTACACAGAAACTGTCTAACCCTTGTTGCAAACTGTCTTCGGCCCAGAGATGAGAGTAAAACAAAGGAAATCCACTAACCCATCTAAATTGTCTACGACCGTAAACAAGAATCCTCTCTAGACCAATAAAAAAACGGTTGCTTTCGTTACAGGAATTCCCTTTCTCCCCGAGAGGACAGATATGTTCGAACAGTTTTGATTCTAGGAATCTTTTCTCCTCCGTCGTTTCAATGCTTACCAGGAATGAGTTTTGTAAGTTGCACATGTAGTTAGCACTATAATATGAGTCAGAATTTCTCTCTGGGAGAATCTTGTAGCAAGAAAAGGATGAGAGCAATTTACTTTGCTTGATGGATTTATCCCAGAACCAACCAGGGTAACATTTGTCACATACAATTCTCGGAATCCCTTGATCAATAGGGAGGTATTGGAGCCGACTAAAAATAACAATTCCTCTAGTTTGACGTATATTTTTTTTCTCATTTCTTGAGTTCGAATAAATTTTTCCTCTATTCATGAGGACAACTGTAAGTATTCTTATGCTGGTCGCTGCATTAAAATCGACAATGCTGGAGCTACTACGATAATACCAAAAAAATTGTTCGCACACTAAGACAATGACTACTCTTTTCCTACTAGAAGAAGATGATCTATTTAAGTGATCTAGACTCGCAGTATGAACATCGTCAACATTACACATCTGTTTGTTCAGTTGTGTTGAGTTACTGTTATTGTAAAGCAGAAAAGCCTGCCGAAGAGCAGTTACGTTCGAAAACTCTCCAAAGTCAAATTGCACGTTCAGACTGGGTGTGTCATTTGTACAGCAAAACTGAGCTAAGGATACGTTCACGCGTGTGAAGTCGTCGACTTTACCGGTATTGAAAATATCGAGAAATTTACTGAAAAATTCCATCTGTTTTTCTGAAGGATCTCTAAATTTTGTAGAGCCCTCAACAACCAGTAAAAGGTCCAGTGGAGAGGAGGAGCAATCATCAACGAAGGGGAAATCCGAGTTTCTCGCATGAGACACCCATCGGGAAGACCCATGGCTGGTGTGACAGCTGGAATCTGGAGCAAAAGAACAGACAGTGGAACATTTTAGAACAGGTCAACTGTCGTGGGAAAAAAACAATTCTTTGTAAGCAAATGATATTAATTTATTATGTGTCACGCGACAGTGGAATCAAGCGCTCGTCGTTTTTTTTGTGTGTTTTTTTTTTTT